CTTAGTGGGGATCTTTTTGTGCTTATCTTACTTTGGGTTGTTGAGTTTCTTGTGTCAGTAGATTGATAATTTTCATAAAATTTGTAAAATTTTCAGCCATAAAATTTGTAAAATATTTCAAATATTTTTAATATGTCATTTCAGGAATATATACATCTTGGTGTGTTAGTTATCTTTAAGTCTCCAGTGTTCTTTTCCTTTTTCTACAATTTCTTTTTCTTTTAGGGTTAGTTAATTTATTTTACCTTTAATTTCATTGATTCTTTTTATGTAATAGCACTTTCTGTTCTATAGACCACCTAGTAAGTTTTTCATTTTACTTTTTGTACTTTGTGACTCTTAAATTTCTATTTGTTTCTTTTAATAGTTTGCAGTTCTTTGTTGGTATTTTCTAATTATTTAGTCGTTTTTTCTTCAAACATATTTATAATAAACTGTTTCTGAAGTCTTTGCTAAATCCAATACTTGGCCCTTCTTGGATATAGTTTCTACTGGGTACATTACCCCCCAGTGGTACCCTCTTTCTATGGCTCATAATTTTTTCTTGAAAGTGGACTTTTATAAAACACAGTATATTCTACCAACTCTCTCTCGAATTTGTTTTTTTCCTCAAGTTTTAGTGGTGGTGGTGGTTGTTTCATTCTTTCATTTTTTTAAAGGTAACTTTTATGAACTGTATCTGCAGAATTTCTCACAATGTATGACTATGGATGTATCTCCTCAGCTTTAAAAAATACTTTTTTATATTTTTACCTTGACTTTCTAGAGTTTGCTCCGTGTTTTCATAGTTGGTTGAAAGTTGTGCTTGCATATGTTAAGATTTTCACCTTCTGTTGGTGGATTGTATGTTTGTGGAATGCATGCAAATTTTAGGCCATATTCAAACTTGCCTCCTTTACTTTTTTTTAAAAAGATTTATTTATTTATGCATACAAGAGCTAGGATACAGGCCAGAGGTGTGTGTGTGTGGGGTGAGTTGGGAACAGAATAAGCAGATTGACGTAAGTACACTGCTGTGCGGAGGAGCGGGCGAGTCAGGAGAGGTCTGCTGTGCCATGTGGGTAGCACCTGACTGCCTGGGGATCAAACTCATGCTGCAGAGATTGTGGACAGCTTCGTAAGTTGCGTATTAACCCTTTGTGCCACCAGGGAGGCCTGTCTCCTTTACTTTCTATGGGGTCTTCTTTGGTCTTCTTGCATATGCATATAGATCTCTAGTTGTGGTGAGAACAGTCTTTCTCAGGTCTCCACTTTCTCTGGAGCATGCTTTCACCCTTTCATTTAGCTGGCATTTTGTGGGGAGCTTGGGACCTTATGAGCTCTCCTACACTATCAGTTGTCTTCTTCTAGAGTATATGAATTTATCAAGTCCCTCTATGGCTCTGTCTTTCCTAGGATCTTTCTGTTAAATTTCAAAGGAGTCTTCAAGTTTGTGGCTTGCCTCAACTGATACAGTTAGAATTTTCTGTTTCCTATTGGGTTGGGTTTTCTGCTCTCTGCTCCAAATTGCAGTCATCATCCTTTGGCAGTGAAACTTGTGAACCTCTCACCTTTACGGGAAAACGATGATAGTGGAATCAGGGAGAGGTTGGAAACAGTTGCTAATGTTACAGGCCAGGGAGAGGGAGGGTGCCCAGAACCCCCAAATCTGACTGTTTTAAATAGGTTCTGCTATCTGCTGCATCAAGACAAAACATGTAAGACCTTTAATAGCAAGGAACTTTAATAAAATTAGTGAACAATGATGGAGGACAAGAATAGAAAAACTGGAAAGGAGGTATCTCAAGACCCAGACCTGACTCACACAAGGAGGTGGGGGTCGAGGAGAATAACATGACCATTAACCCAGATGTAGAGGTCAGACCCTTAGATACCAGTGCCTTATCACAAGGCATGCTACCCAAGCAGGATCAGATGCTAGAGGGAGTGGAGCACAGACCTGAGAGGAAAGATATGGAGATTGGGTCCACCCTGGAATCTCTGGTCGCTTTCTAATTTTGCCTGGTACCCAATATCAGCAACAAGCAGGCCACTCCATGGAGGAGTGACACCCGCCGAAGAGAAAAGGACTATGTCAGTGCAGTCTCTGAACAGACTCAGGGCAGCACTCCCACTGCCCACCTGTGACTATACAACTCTCTCCCTCTGCAGGGCAGCAGTTTTCTGGCTGCGCATGATCTGTACCATGCCAGGACTTCTCTTTGTAACAGGGTGGTCCCCCTTTCCTGGGGACCCAGGAAAGGGGGACCACCCTGTTACATCTTCACTGACCTCCCTCAGTGGAGGCAGCTCTCTTCAAGGCCGCCCGTCTGCAACCATGCAGGCCTCTCTTAGCACACCTGTCCCTTTCCCTTTCCCTAATAAACCTGTTCTTTAAATATAACTAATGTCTCTGTCTCATGGAGAAACCTTTCCCAGAGTGAACCCAAGGAACCCACACTCTGCAAAACTACATCAAACAATACAAAAAAAGACAAAGAGTATAGTTTCTAAATCAAACACCCAAAGTTACCCATCCCCTCATGGGTAAAAGTCCAGCCAAACAGGATTGGCCCAAAGCAAGCCCCCAAAGCCTGCCACAGATCTAAAGCACACTCCAGCAGGGACCCATAGAAAAGGGTCAGAAACAGCCAGACAAGAGCAAAATCAAAATCAAGATAAAAGCTGCCATTGTTAACCTCCCCACAAGTCTCTCACCCACATTTGCTTCAAACAGTCCAGGACCAAAAACCAAATGCAGCTTCTTTCCACATCTCTCTGCAACATGTGCCTCCTTCAGGTTTCCTTCTTGTTCTCCATCCTGCTTCCTTTCTTCTCCAGTCACCTCTCCAGCTTCTTCTCCAACTGCTCAGTTCCACCCTTCTTTGGGTGGGGCAAGGAACCTGGAATCTCCCCTTTATCTGGGCACCACCCTGTTACACGAAGATATCAGAGTTCTGCTGTTCTTTGCATGAAGTTCAGTTATTTTTCATGAGTAACTTCTCATTGTGTTGTGTGTGTGTTTTTTCTCCTTTAGTTGACTTACAGAGCATGAAATGATTATTTTTGACAATTTGATCTTTATATTTGTTTTTTGGGGGGAAAGATTTAGTACTCAAAGGAAAAGACCAACTTCAGAACTGGGATTCTGAAACTTAACTATTATATTTCAAGTCCAAGTGCTGTGATCTCGAATTATACTTGCGGTGCTAGAGACCAATAAGTAATTAAAAAAAATGGATGGATGAATCTTGATTTAAACCTTAGATTTTTAGTTTTAGTCTTTGACTTCTACATAGATTTGCAAGGTCAAACTTAGGTTACTGGAATGGGTTTGTGGCTCTGGTGCAGAGTAGACATGTGTTGTTTCTTCAGAGTGAGCCAGCAGTTGTTGACAAAATATTTTTCCTATAGTAGTTCTTGTTTTGTAACAGTTTTATGAAATAGATATTGTAATCATGATTTCCAGATAAGGAAATAAGTTTTTTGGCTAGTAACTTACTCATGATCTTAACATTTGTATGTGATAGTACTTGAGCCCATATCTTTTGACTTCTTGTTTATTATCTATAATAACTGCTTCTCTACCATAAGTATTCGTAGATTCTGATGATCTTAGTGTATTCATTATAATAGGTAGTACTGGAGGTTAGCACAGTTTATAACAATCTTCTTGAATTTTTGCTAGAGCGCAAATTCTTTTCTTTCAAATGATAATCGCTCTTACCTTACTGAAGAGCCCCCATTCATTCATGCAGTTGTTAAGCAAATGTTAAAAGTCAGAGAAAGAACTATCCCATGGCAGCTTCCTCTGCCAGCTTCCTCTTTTTTTCTTACTCCATAGATGCAGATTCTGCCCAAGAAGCCCCTGCATTGCAGAGGGACTGGAGATCTGTATGATCTGTTTATTTCGCAATTGACAAGGGTAAGGGGGCCTTATGGGGGAGGTGCTTGGGTGCCCTGAATTTAGCTTTATGAAGCTGGCCTAACATTTATTTGGGGATTATTTAAATTTAGTGTTTTTAGAAGCATTTTAATGAATTCTCTTTGTCCTACAATCAGCTAAGTGCCAGATTATCATACTAAAAAGCATTTATTATAATGGTGATTTAAAAAAAATCCTGTTTAAAACAAGTCAGACAACCATAAATCATACTTCTAAAATTCCAAATCTGAGATCTTTTAGAATATAAATAACACTGAGTATATGTTAGTAAAATTTCACGACAATGAAAATTTTAAAAGGGTCTGAGTTAATGTGTCTATTTCCATAGTTCATCATAGTTATCCTTTATTAATCTACTCTGTTCCTTTTCCATAAATCTATCAAAATCTGTAAAGTGAAAAAGGGATTTGTGGATATGCCATATACATAATGGGCGAGCATGGTGTCTTTTTCTTCCTGTTAGAATTAATACCCACTTCCTTGACTTCTGTGTCCACCTTAGATGCCAGTGAAATTTGAGTTGTATCTTCAGACTGACCTGTTTTTGTTCATGGGCATAGATGTTAGGTGCAATTGGCGAATCTTAGGGAAGCCAAGATTAAGTTTTTAGGTTTCACTTGGCAGGTTTGTAGAACAAGTGGCAGAAATGGTGGTATTTATAGTAGGGTAGGGTTAAAATAGGTGAGGAAGAATTTAAAGCTTTTTTAAAGTTGTGAAAACATTAGGCAGGTGGCTGTAGTTTTGATGGGTAGTTGAGAAGACTTGGTGATGATTTGATGGGCTTATTTTTATTTTTAAAGATGTTATTAGACCTGGTAGTAAGGTAGTTTTGTTTACCAAAAGAAGTTTTGTACATTTCTGTAACTTTAATAGCTATTTTTAGTATTCTGTACCTCTCATATTTTGAAACTGTCCTCTTTAAACATTTAATTTATAGATTTTAAGAATTCAACAATATTATGCTTATTATCCTTACCACTACTAATAAATGTTCCACTTTTTAGTGTCAACACACTGGAAAATAATTTTTATTCTTAAACTTCTTAAATGACTTTTTTTTTCTGTTTTCTTTAAGCCATAAGGATGAGTTTACCATTATTCCTGTACTGGTTGGAGCTCTGAGTGAGTCAAAAGAACAGGAATTCGGAAAACTCTTCAGTAAATATCTAGCGGACCCTAGTAATCTCTTTGTGGTTTCTTCTGATTTCTGCCATTGGGGTAAGTTCTAGATTTTAACTTATGGTAGATATTGTATACTTGTGGTTAAAGGTATCTTTTCAGTTCTTTATCACTTTCCTTGGAAGTTTTACTTATAGCAGCAAAGTTTGAAAGTGAATTAAAAAGACTTTTTGTCATTTAAAAAGGATCAGATTATAATAGTGGATTATGGATACATTTCCAAAGGCGACTGGTATAATTGGATTCACACTGTGAGGGCATCCTTGCTTAGACACTAATGTCAGTGGGAATTAAGATCATTTAACCTCATGTTCAGGTAGAGTTGTGTAGTAGATTCTCTGAAGTTAGCTTTTTGGTGGATAAAACAAATGTTCCTCTTTAGAGTGTAGACTTAGCACTGTATGCTTTGCTAGTCCTTTTCCATAGTTTCTTTTCTGTAATTAATCTTTTGTTTCTTTTATTCCTTTACTGCTTAAATTTTACCATAGTTATCAGTGTGGATCTACCCTCTAAAGATTGTAACATGTTAGTTATTATTAGCACTGTGTTCTTCACTGATCATGGTCTATAAAGGGTAAGGACTCTGAAGTGATTTTTATTATTATGGTGAATTAAAAGAATAAGGAAACTTCACAGTGGATTTAGGAAGTGAGACATCCGTGGACACTTTTTTAAAGTAAACTTTGCTTTTAAATTCTTTGGATACAGTTTGCTTTCATTTGTCCATTACTGCTCTAAAATATTTCTGAATCCTATTCCTTTTAGCACATCTCTTTGACTCATTTATTCATTGGTTTAAGGATGCCAGTATTTGTTCATTCTTCAGTTATTTCTTTAATTTTGGAGAAATGTTAAGGAACAAAACCATACATTTTAAGATGGAATGCTAGAGTGGCCAGAATTTCATCCTCATGGATAGTAGGGAACCCTGACCACTACATGTCTTAACCAGTGATTGATTGCCATAGTTGATTCAACATTTATCCCCACTAGTTAGGCTGCTCTCTTCTTCTCTTACCTCTGCAATGTGAGTGACATTGAGATTTCAATTCAAGAGAACCATCTTCCCTAGTGGTGTAGATAAGTGTATTTATTTAAGTCAGCTTTTTCTCATTTGGAACTAACTGTCCTTTCAGGGGGCATTTGGAAATGTCAGGAGACATTTTTGGTTATCACAACTGAGGTGATGGTGGATGGTGAGGATGCGATTGGCATCTAATGAGTAGAGTCCAAGGAAGCTGCTAAGTAAACTTTTTATAATGCACAGGAATATCTCACCCATCAAAGAATTATCCTGTCGCCCAAAATGTCAGTAGTGTTGTGAAGGCCTAACTAAGGCTATGTAGGTATCTGTGTTGCCTTGTCAAACTCCTTAAGAGACTTTATTTAAAAATTCTGTTGGCTAGTTTTGTTACCTTAAGCAGAAATTAGTTTTTATGAATATAAATATATTTTTTAGATCTGAGTACTAGGTAGATACCTGAAAGTTCTTTTTCTCTTGGAAATTCTGAAGTTTGATTTAATAGCTGTTCTTAAAAAAAATGAAAGAATTTAATTTATTAAAAAAGGGCTATTTTCTTAGCATTGTGAGTTTAAATTGGTTAATAAAGCATGTCCATATGTTTTAGAAATTAAATATTCTTGAAGCATGTGCCCCCTACCTCTTCATGTATAGGATTGTTAATTGAATCACTTTAAATCACTTTATGATCTAAATAATTTGTTCTCTTAATATTATTCTGTAGAGTATAAGATCTCCCTGTAGGTTGGCATCTTGTGCACCCACAACATAAATTCACATGAAGTATCAGTGGATATCTTCATATTTCCCTTTTTTGTGGAAGCATCCTTTTTATCTCATTAATGAATTCTAAAGCAAATAAATCCTAGTCTACTACTATATTTAAGTATTTTGTTGAGAGAGAAAAATGAATTTTGTTTTACATTCTACTTAAATTCTCAGAAAAATGTTTAAGCCATTTTTCTCCTGATCTTGATCATTTTGCTATTTAAATTTTAAAAGGATTTCCTCATGACAATAGTGAAAAAATAACCTCAAAATTTTCCAAAGATTGATAAATGGTGGCCATGGGAATTATTCAGAGAGCAATACATTTTTATATTTATGTTTGGTGGTTTTGTAGTAGAACTCTTCCAAGTGTTTATTTTCTTATTATTGCTATCACTAACAGTACTGACTAAGTATTAATTTTGTACTTAGAAAAGCACTTTACTAATTCTTGCTAGGAAATCTGATGGAGGTTTGGGGTTAATGGAAGGTATGTTGGCATGAACACTGCCCCCAAATTGGTGGCCTCTGATCTATAATAGTAATTGTAACTGTGATTCCTGTACAATAGGATTTATTTTCTATTTTACATGCCTATTGAAGTAATATGAATCACTAATTATGGTTTATATTGTCTTTACTTAGAAATTAAGTTTCATAGTTTTTAAATTCATACTCCAGTGGCATTGGGCATCTTTCCTAAATTAAAGACTGTTATTTTCCCACTTCAAATATCTAGTTGTTTTTTTTTTTTTCCTAGAAGATAATAGTGTCTTTTTCTCTTTAAAAAAGATTGATTTTACCATACCCAAATAATCATAACATTGAATTCTAAATCATTTCACAGGCGGAATTCAGTCCTCAGGTACATACAATCTTAAAATTTCAGTGAGTTAGGCTCTTAACACACTTCACTTTTCTAAATAACTGATTGTTGAAGAAAAACCCCTTAATTGATTATGCTACAGCTGACAAGTCACTCAGACATATACATGGAATTTTTTGTTTTGTATAATAATGAGCTGGAAGTAACTACATTTTTCATTTCTAGTTGCTGTTTCTCTTTGTTTTGTTCAGTTTCTGAAAAAATAAAGTGTGAAACCTGGTAATAGAGTTGGGAGACCTTTATGTATTTGGAAGGATTTTGCCTGCTGACCTTATCTGTTAGCCATTGTTCATTGTAAGAGAGACTTTTTTCCTTCTGCTATTTCTTTGATTATAGAGAAATGATCTTCAGATCCAAGTGATTTTTATTTAGACTTGAAAGAAACATTAAAGAGACAAAATGTAAGAAGTCTAAAGGACTTTTTAAGTTTTCTTTTTTGGGTGAGATGAGCCAAGAAACCTAGATTCTGTAATGCCCATTCTTTCAGTCCCCTCACTTCACTCCTCCCACCCTTGGCTACATTTCATCTCCTACTTTTAGCTATACATATGACAGTAAGTGATTCAGCCTGATAGTATGTTAATTTCACAGGATCCCACCTCACTTCATTCTTCTGCTTTCAGAAAAAGTGGAATAAGTGAAGGGACATTTGCTGCTAATAATTGATTTTTCTCATGGTTAGGTAATTATGTTCTCATACTTTACTAATTTAGTTTCCCATGCTATAGTCGGGGTCCACGAAAGAGAATTTTGTCTGGACTCTTTTTAGATTTTATAATTAGTAAGGTTTTTATTCTATTTTTCTAGGTTTCAATTTTGCTCTTCTCCATAATAGCAGCTATTGTTAGTATTTGTGTTTATATGACCTTCCTGAAATTTTTATTTCCACATTTAGATTATTGTTGGCTTTCATTGTCATAATTTTCAGTTAACTTCCAAGACATTTCTTACTGAAACTGGATCTAATAGAGACTGATTCTTTAAAAGTGCATCCATGCTTTCATTTAATTTTCCTTTTATGGTTGTTTAAAGTGCAAGTCAATGTTAATAAATTTACTTGGTATGTTAATTAAGTTAAATTATTTTGTTTAAATATGACTTCAGCAATTTTGGATTTTTTTTTTTCATTTTTCTTTCTTTTTTTTTTTTTTTAAAGATTTATCCATTTATACAAGCACTGGGGTACAGGCCAGAGGCGTGGGAGGGTGAGAGAACTCACCAAGGACAGAGCAGGGAGCAGAACAGGCAGACTGACGGAAACACACTGCTGAGGGAAGCAGTGGGCGTGACAGGAGAAGTCTGCCTTGCCATGTGGGAATCTCCCCGGCCGGCTGGAAATCGAACTGGTGCTGCAGAGGCTGCCAACAGCCTCACAGGGCTGCCTCAACCCTCTGTGCCACCAGGGAGGCCCTGGATTTTTTTCTATAATCTTATGTTTGTCTAAGTTTACATTTTTTTGCCCAGCGTATGTGCCAGCTGTTGAAGTGGCATTTCCCTAAATATTCATAAAGTTTATAGCTTTATTCACATTTCTTGCTTAATATTATTAATAAGTGATTTTTTTATACAGATTCTTCCTCCTTTCTGTTAATAGTCCTTTCTGTTAATAGTCTCTTGGGTACAGGCGTATTACTATTTTTTAAAAATATTAAAAGGTTAGCTAATCCCTGAAATTTATCTTATCTAGGCCTTCATATTTGTCTTCACAAATATTTGTACATAAAATTTCACATTTAGGTTTTTGATCCTCTGTAAGTTTGAGAGACGGCTTATACTTTCACATTATGAATAGGACTTCAGATTGAAAGGATTATTTATAGTATTGTGTTTATAAAATGATTACCTTATTTGATGCTACTTAGATAATATTTCCTTTATAGAATACATTTTTTCAAAGTGATTTCAGCAATGAATATCCCCAGTTTAGGACATTAGTATAAATGAACTAGCAAGCTATCTCACAGTTTGTGGTGAGATGTAACTCAAGTATTTGAAAATGTTTTAACATGTAAACAGTGATTAAGTGAATGTATAGCAGTGCAGTTTTTACTGGCCATGTGTCTGAAAGTGTGTCTTCACTGATCTTTTGGGGGCTTTATAGATCAACTTTCCAAGCTCATTACTTATTTCTGCAATCTAGTGTATAGTTTAATGTTGAGGAATTTAACATATTTTTTACTTCTTGTTTTGAGGTACTTAAAAAGTAGTGTTGGTTCTTGTACCATTCATTGTTATGTTTGTCCTCATTAGTTGATTGTTGTGTGTTAAACAGACATCCCTGGAGCTTATTCTCCACACTCTGTGAATCCACTCATTAATCACCAGTCACCTTTGGAGATGGGAAAATTACTTACCTGTATTTCTTTTTCTCAGAAAGCGTGCTCTGGAATGGATTCACAAATGAGCTACCCTCCTTCCCTCAAAGAGTAAGGTTTCTGCTTTACAGGATTTTTTTCTTGGGTTATTTTTCCTCTCATCTTTTGAATTTGAAAGAACTGAGGGAAGGCACCTGAAGAAACTACTGACATACTCACTAGGGGAGTTCCAAAGCTTGTGCTTGCCCCTAGGGGCAGTGTCAATGGCTCTTAAAGCTAGAAAGCTCATACTTGGAGTTGAAACAGGGGCTCAAAGAATCCATTTTCCCAGTGTACCTTCTGAAAGGATAAGTTTCAGGTAAGTAATTTTCTCTTACTATGTGATATGCTTGATTCATATTTATAAACGTACACAAGTCCCATTCTCCAGGTACATTGACTACTGTATTTGCTCCCAGTTTAGAAGCATAAGCTTTACCGAATGTGAGGAATACTGTAAAAGAAAATAAACCTGCTCTTGAGATACTTGAAATGATGTTTGAAATCAACAATTAATATATAATTAAAGGTGAATTGATGATCAGCATGATGTGCTAATGTTGTCTTTTCTTATTAAATAAAATCATGAGATTATTTTTTTAATAAGAAACAGACCTTTTGAACTCAAATTCCAAGTGGTGGTTAACTAAAGTTATGTGTGTGCACGCATGCACATACATACATAGGGTAAGATAGTATTATTTTTCTTGAAATTAGATGCTTCCTTATGTATATTGGACCAATGTGAATTATTCAAGTAATTTTTAAAAATCTGCACAATAAAAAAAAATTTTCATGAAACAGTTTGAGTTGTTACACGATTTTTTTCAGTGTATTATTACATTCCCATTTTTGTAGTTATGTCATGTGCCTTTAGCTTCTTAACTGATAGAGTCTTTAGAGCTCGTCAAGTTTTTCTACTTGATTCTACTAAATGTGTGTGGTGCTACTAAAAAGTAGATAGCAAAATATTAAACATTTGCTTAAGTTAATTTTCTGTGTATTTTGTTAGTATTAAAATAACATGTTGATGTAGTATTTTAAAGTATTTCAGACATTCTGTATACTTATTTCGGAAGTAGTTTTAAAATGACAGTTACATTCAGAATGGTCCATATGAGCAAAACAGCATTTTAAAAGTTACATTTTCATTTGTGATTAAGACAGGTTTAAGCAACTTCAACCATTTGAAACAACAGAACTTGCAAATAAAGCAGAAAAGACTTTTGAGTAGCAAAAGTAGCTATCACAAAGTTCATACATTTTCCTTTGCATCTGAGAGTAACAGTCTTCAGTCAAGAAAGTCATGTCCCTATCACAGGGATTATTGACAGCTAACACTAATATCAGCCTCCAGAAGCAACTAAGAGAGAATGCTTTAGTATAAACCTGAAGCAGTTCAGGTTCAAAGAATTCATTTTGATTTCATCTAAGGATATTACTCTTATTACGCTGACAGTGAGTCAGAATTTTCTTGTGTAAGATTATTTATTGTTCATTTTACGTAAGAGTTTGAGTAGCTTTGTTAAAGAAAAAAGCTTTAAGAAATTCAGTACCAATAAATAGAATCAAGTTATTGTGACAGACTTTAGATTTCACTGAGCTTTGTGACAGCCATCTGACAAGTAGGAAAAACAGGGCCAGTTGTATATGTAGTTCTTGTTGTTTGGTTGGAGGAAACACAAGCATTCTTTAAGGGAAAACAAAGCTATATTTTACTTTAAATTTTGAAAGAAGGGTCTGATAAGGTATTTAATATAGGAACATTTGAATAATGAATTGTCAGAATTTTTTTTAGTAAAAGGTTTAGTAATGGATTTCATAGTTACAGCAACATGCAATAATTTTAAATATTTATTAAAGAAGTTTCTTATATTCTGAAAGGAGCTAATTGTCTTAGAATCCCATTGTTTGAGTCTAGGATACCATGAATTGTAAGTTGAAGTATTGATTTCATAGTGGCTTTTAGAAGACAATAAGTCACATTGAGTAATTGTACATATTAATATATCTTAAAAGTTAAAATGTGACAGTTTAAGGGAATGTGGTATATTATAGAAACGTGACTAACAAGATAATCAGTATCAACAAGTAAATGAAGTGTCAAGAACTGTGATGTGTGATTGTTTGAAAAGAGTACAACAAAATTTGTTTGTACTGCTTGTTATTTATAAGATGGTAAACAGAAAACTTAAAATTAAGAATTAAACAGCCAGAGAAACCCTCATCAGGTATGAAAATAATTAGATATGTGAACTTTGCTCTAATAATGAAACGCAAGACATATACTGTGTGTGTACATGATTGGTGTACCTTAATACCATTAGAAATGCATTTCGGTGAATCTTGGAAATAAGAAAAAAATAAATGTTATGAGTTCTGGAAATACAGGTATTGGTGAAGGGGTCGTTAGTAATCAGTTGAATGACAATCCATAATTATGAATATTTTTAGGTCTTGATTTTTCATATGACTGTAGTAGGATGCAAAATTTATTTCCTGAACCTTTTATTTTCTGTTTTCTTTTTAAACTTCTTCCATTTTACTCTCTCTGTTCTTTGGTGAACAGCTAAATATTGAATGTTCTGTGTTTGTACCCTTATTGAGATTTTATGTCAGGGTAGGACAATTTATTACATTTACCCTTTTGTGCATCTTATACACATTACATCAGGCACCTGTACTGATCCTTTTCTAGGTAGAAAGTTTTGCCAAAAATGAGATAATTTTTTATGGAGTTCATTAAAAAAAAATCATACAAGCCATCTGTATCTCTGACCTAAACATTTCTTTTTTCAGTAAGAGACAAAAATCTTTGAATTTGTACAGCAAAAACTAAGCTTTCATTGATTTGTTACATTGATGTGGTTTTCTTAAACCAAATTTTCTTGAGTCATATTCTTTGGGTTCATTTCCTTTATAGACTGATATAATGTTTAACAATGCTTCTAACATTTAAGCTGTTTGTTTCCTTTGTCTTTTGTATTGCTCATGACTTTAAGGTTCTACAATTTGAAATAGTTTTTAACATCATAAACCACTGATGACATATTTCTTTATTACTTTCCCAAATATGCCTTTTATATTTATGTACAAGGGCTCTTGGGAATGATCATCTCAGAGGCTTAAGCTGTGCTATGCCTTCCATGAGAATTGAAATTATTTGGTAAGCTCTTGCTTTCTTTTTAGCTTCTAATTTTTCCCTATTTTATTTTGTACATGATATTTGTTTCAAGGTCAAAGGTTCCGTTACAGTTACTATGATGAATCCCAGGGGGAGATATATAGATCCATTGAACATCTAGATAAAATGGTAAGTCTTTCAGGTGTGGGTTTTAATGCTCTAAGGTTTCTTTTTTTAAATTCAGATTAGTGATTTAAGATTTAATCTGTTGAATATACAATAGCCTGATCTTTCCCTAGCTTTAAATATGCAAAATATAGTTTATAATCATACGAATACTGAGTATAAGAACAATCCCTCTTCTATTGTTAGAAATTTCTTTTTATCTTAATTTTGATTGAGACTATTTAAGAAAAGAGATTTTACTTATACTTTTTGGGGAAGTGTCTTAGTTTTAGGGATAATAGTAATGCTAATTAATTCCTGTTATGCACAACAGCCATAGTAAATTCTTAGTTTATGATTTAATTCTATTTTTGGCCATTTGAACTTTTCCTTAAAAAGTGGAATTTTAATTTGTTGTTTTAAGTGTAGAATTTTAAAATACTATTTTATTCTTACCTAGTTCAAGTACAGTATATGTGGATCCTCTGTCATTTCCCTTGAAGTGATATTGTAGTCATAGTTCTTGATTTAATATTGAAAAGACAAAGACATAAATTTGCTATCTATTCATAAATAATATAGAAAAATAACATAGTGGGTCTCCCTGGTGGCCTAGGGGTTGAGTCTTATCGCTATCACCGCTATGGCCTGAGTTCGATCCCCAGCCAGGGCCAGGGAGCTAACCCACATACGGTGCAGCAGATCTTTCCTGCCTTGCCTGTTGTGCCCCTTAACAGTGTGTTTTAGTAAATCCATGTGTTCTGCTCCCTGCTCTGTCTCTGGTGAATCCCCTTACCCTCACTCCCGACCCTGTACTTCTGGCCTGCACCCAGTCTTCTATGCAAAAATGAAAAAAAAAAAAAGAAAGAAAGAAAATAGATAAATCACTAACTTACTCTGACCTTCAACAAAACATTTCAGTTCTCTAGTCTTCAATTTTCATCTGTAAAGTGAGAGGGTTGGAGTGTTGGTTGGTCTCTCAGTTGCCTTTAAATTGTCAGTTTTTAAGTTTGTGATCTGTTAAAATCAACTTTACTACCATGTAAAAAGCTTTATGAATATGTTTTAGTATAAGAATGTTTTGTCTAAAGTACATAAAACATTTTAGTGTGGAATCTGGATCTGAAACTAAAGGTAGATCGTATCATGCAGTATGTTGTATTATGAGTCAAATGCAAATTTACTTAGGAGAATTTTATCATTTGAATTTATCTTGTTACTTTAAATCTAATTATGCCCAAATACTTTTACTTTTATAATTTTGTTTAGATTTTAATTCGCTCAGTTTTCTTTTAATGTTGTCATTTCAGTCATTTAATTTTTTTCTGGCTTTTAGCTGTAATATATTTTTCTAAGATTTAATTCTCAATTGTTCAGAGAAATTTTATGGGTCTGTCATTATTTTCTTTATATAGCAGATGGTTAATGGGTATCTACTTTGAGTCTGGTACTATTTGAAGTACTGAGATATTAGGAAGAGAAAATATGATCTCTGACTTAGTGGAACTTAAAATCTAGTCATCCAGCAGACTTAGAAAGAAGCAATGACAATATAGTGATGTAAGAGATATTTAGGAGGTAGTGTGGGTACACTGCTCCCCATACTGTTTCTCAGTAAGAGCTTTTTGACTTTGTTGCATTTAACTGTCTTTCTTACCTCACAGCTTTTCTTAGCTTTACCTTCCCGGTAAGGCCTACTGACCACCTTTTTAAATAATTGCATTCTACATCCCACCCATTCAGCATTCCCAGCCACCTTACCCTACTCTATTTTTTCTTCTAACAAACTAAATATTTTATTTATTACAGTTTTGTTAGGGTATTTATTGTATCCAAAAATGATTAGCATAGTATTAGAACATAAGAAGGTGCTCAATAAATATTTTTCAAATGAATGAATTGATATGTAACCCCTTTACATACTTAATTGACTCCCCTAACTATAATATGAGAAAGAAGTAAAATGAATTTATATTAAATTTATATATACATCTATATATGGTTAATAAAATAATAAAAATGCCCGAATACAACTGTATTAGAAGACATAATGATACACACACAGTGTCAAATACAAAATTAAGTGAGTATTTTATATTTGTGACTGAAATTATTATGTTACATCGCTGGGTGACTTGATTTTCCAAAATGATGAACAATTCTTAGTAAAGCTATAAAGTCAGCAAACTACAGTCTTCCCTCAATAGAAGTCTTGTTCCTGGAAATCTACATATTAAGATCAGCAAAACTTCTTTGTATTTGTATATAAAATGAAAATAGAGTGTAGGTATTTATAAGCAGCTTTTTCTTCTATGTAGATATATGAAAGTGTTATGGGATGAGAACAATTCTGTGTGTAGGACTGTCCTATATTGCAGGACAATCAGCATCCCTGAACCCTATCCACTGAATCCCTTAATAGCATCTCTCTTGTGCTAGCAAAATTTCCAAGCAAGTTCCCATACGGTGAAGAATTGTTTTGTGACTTAACCCTGCTTTATTTTTTTACTCACTACTACATGTTTTATTATTTTTTAATTTTTTGGTGATATTAAATTATAAGCTTCATGAGATAGAGTCTTGGTTCATTTTGAATCAATTCATCAGTGGTTATTAAAAATAGATATATCTCTATATATACATATCTATATGTATCTTGGTTGTCAGAAAAGTCTTGCCTGTAAGATGTCAAAGTAGAGATGTCAGTCAAATAAGCATTTGGATTTTCATTTTGCAAGTTATTTTTGGGTACTTTTACAGTTCTTGGCACTTGTAGAAACACTACAGTAAATAAGCAGTATTGTTCTCATAGAAATTTTATTCTCCTGAGAGGAGGTATGTTTTGTTTTGAAGGTAAGGATGTCTGCGTTCATTTTAAATGGTTGTATGTGCTAGGCAGAAGAAAATAAAAGGATTTTGAGACAGTAAATGATTTGAGGTTGTGTTAGAAGGAGCTATTGAACAAAGACTTCCCAGAGGAGGAACATTAAACTGAGATATAAACAATAAGGATCTGAAGTAAATATCAGAGGGAAGAACATTCTAGACTAAAGGAACTGCGTCTGCAAAGAAAAAAAAGGCTAGTGTTAATTGAGGTAGAGTAAGTAAGAGTTAGAGGTGGTTGTACAAGTTCTGGTAATGTTAGGGGGGCCCTCTCCCTGTCCTATAACAGTAAGACAGGTAGTCAGGGATCAGGGCTTTATAATTCGGGGTAAAAAATTTATGTGGAGAGTGAAATTATGTGATTACATTATTTTAACGTTCACTCTAGCTGTGTGTAGAGAATGGATTCTATAAGAGAGTTAGGTGTAGTAACTGGGTTTTGACAATTTGGAGAGATGATAGTAATTTGAACTGGGGTGGTATTAGTGGTGATGGAAAGAAGTTGAAAGCTGATAGTTTTGAGATTTGAAATATTCAATAGTACTTTGCCAGTTGGTTGACTATTTTGGTTTGAAGCTCAGAAAAGAAGTCTACGTGGATTTAATTTAAGAATTCTCAACATGTACATGGTAATTAAAGGCAGGGCAGAGATGAGATTGTTTACTCCAGTAATAATTCTATCTTCACTACTGAAATCACTTGTGTAACTTCTTCAAACTAGATTTGCTCAGACACATCCGTGGAGAGCTACTTTCAGTAAGTAGTATGGAGAGAGTCCCAGTGAGATCTTGTTTCTGTATTTGAACTGGTCTAATCTGGCCCCTGATCTTTTGAAGTAGAGCAAAATTTCCTGTTTATCTCCTCTTCCCTTATTTTCTAAGCAGCTCTTGAGGTCATTTGTGGAATTTAATCAGGAAACATTTAATTTAGCCAATAGAAGAATTTGTAAACCAGTGATTTGATGCTTTAGCACTAAAGAGCTGTTTTTGTAAAACTTTGGTTTATCTGATGCTCTGCAGTAACTGCACACAATAACATCCTTTGGCACTCTAGAAATGTAGGCACATTGAAATACTTCAGTATTCTTTGTTATTCTGTGTATGTGTTATGTATGAACATTCATACTTAACAGATCTTTTAGCCTTTTCCCTAGCTCTATGTTGAACATTAGCTCATATTTAGAAGACTGGATTTGTCTTTTCTTATCTTTCTTAATGTGTTTGATAGGCAGAACTAAAAGAGTGACATTTATCCATTAGTGTATGATCTTCATAATTTCTAATATAGTTGCTTTTCCTGCTAGTTTCTAAGTCTTTGAAACTGAAAATTTTTGTTTAAAGGGTATAAGTAGAACCAGCTGACTACTGGTTTACTACTAAATCTGCATCTGATTTACTCACACTCAATATCCAGAATTGTCAGAGCATAACTTAAGAATTTTTGTTTAAATAATCTGGACTACAACTTCCTGAATATATGTTGAGCATTTGCTTTGCATTAGTATGCTTGAAGTTAGTGGTCCATTTGTTGAAACATTTCTTTTGGTATATGGACTTTGTAAGTGGCTCAAAAGTGCTGTTTTTATTAGTGTGCTGTTAATGCAAATTATAAGTCAATTCTGGGAGGTTGACGAAATTGATTTAAAAAAGAATGGTTATTTCTGTACACATGTAAGTTTTCTTGCCTACGTATACAAGCATACATACTGTTGGGCAGACTAAAATGTTTTTTCTTAATTGACTTATATAACCAAATGGTGAATATCACTTTGTATATTGCTTTTTTAAAGTGCCACTTTGTTAAATAATTTTGAGAACAAATACCTCAGTTTCTGTATGCAGTCTTTTCAGAGCAAATTTGATTGGAATGTTCTCTGCATTACAAAAATGTTAGCAATTCTGAATTGAAATTATGCATGTTGAAAGTTTGATAAAGTGAAAAATTATTATTATTTTTTTTGTGGGACCCTTGCCGGCGGCTGGGGAATGAACCAGCACTGCAGAGGCTGTGTGCAGCCTCGCAGCCCAGTGCTCAACCGCTGTGCCACCAGGGGATGCCCGAAAAATTATTTTTGTGTATAAAACTTTAATCTGTTCAAAATTAGCATGTTAAGTTTTGGGTCTTTTTATCAGAAAAGTCTTTTATTAAATGTAAAATGCTAGGAAATAAATAAAGTGTTACCAAGTTCTGAAAGCAAAATAGCTTTTCTTATTGTGAAGTATTTCTATCTGTAGCACTTGAATATTGTGGAAATAAATTATGTGTGAAAACATAGAAAGAAAAATATATAGGAAAACAAACTGGATCTTCCAAATATGGTAGTTGGTAGAAAAGTAAATGACTTAGTTACAGGAGATGTAGATTCTGACATTCTTACATTAATATCTTGACTGACCATGTTTTGTAGTAATTAGTACTTTGCAATTTAAGTATTTACAGTTACCAAGCAAAAAACACATTTTAAGACGTTGACTTTGCACTTAGGTCGCATATTTGAAACATTAGTCATACTTAAGTATTACATACATATTTCATATGTATATATACACAGACATACACACACATAAAACATGATTGTATGCTATACTTTCTTTACAGCTTTTGATAGAGATCAATGTTTTGTTATGGATGTTGGCAAATTACGGATTTGATTTGGCAGAGAGAACCTGAAAATTTCATTATAATTGCTAGTTAGTAACTTCTTTTTCTCCCAAATATACTGTCACATAGTTTAATTTGTAGTTCAGCTGCCTTTCTTCCTTTCTTCCTATTCTTTGGAAAGTGAAATATTCATTTTTGGCTATTCACATACTTCTTTCTCTTGAACTTAGGCCAGTAGTTTCTTTAGTTGTCTTTATTAGGTTTTATGACATCATTTATATGATAATTATTATTAGTACATTACTTCTTAGCATTGCTATCTTTAGGGTGTTTTTTCTCCATAAAATTTTTCTACATAAATGTGTATCCTTACTTTAAAAATGAGACTACAGTCCTAATGATTTGGTAATATTGTGATTACTTACATGTTCAAAATTAAGACATGATTCAAGTTCTATTTCTTAAAGTCCTCTGGAAAAAGTTTTGCTACCTTTTATGATTGTTAATTTAGAGGAAGATTACTTCTAGGTGATAGTATTTACAATGAAAGTTAACTTAAACATTTTATTATATAAACTTTAAAGAAGGGAAGATTGTTATTGTCTTCTTTGAGTCTTGAATTGGCAGTGCTGTCAGTTAAAACATGCTATTCAGTGTAGAATTGCCACTTGGGGTTACACATCACAAACTTTCACCCATTATTTCGAGAGTCAGCACAATGATAGATTCTCTGTGTCCTTGTCTCATCCCTCAAGGTAGGAAGTTAGCTTTTAATTTGAGGATTTCTTGCTAAAGCTGCTAAATTTACTCAGAAATCCAGGTACCGATGGATAGGTTTTTTTGGTCTTTATAATATCTGCTTTGTGTCTTGGAACTGAATGAGTAGTCACCTAGGTTAAGTTCTTATGAATAAATTCTCAGTATACCATGCCCTAGGCAAGCATTCCATTTTCTGGACTCTAGATTTACAGATCATATTTTCTTGCATTTGAAAGTTAATTAGGGGTATTTTAGAAGCACTTATCTTTCATCTTGGAATTTTGGCACGAGCATCTACCTACCATTTTTATCTTCTTAAAGTTTTGGTGATAGCAATTTCAGAAATGTTAGCGTTAAAACAAATATTTACGAAAGCGTATTTGATGAGTAACCTGTATTTGTTAATGGGTGTCCCAATTTGCAGTTTAATTATCATTATTGCTGTTATTTGCATACTTCTTGAATTTTCCAATTGGAGAGGTTCACTCATGACAAAAGCCTTGATTTTTCTTTCTATCCTTTCTTAATAAGGGGAATACCTTTTAGCTATCTTATTTGTCAGAGAATTGAGTGTAGTGAAATTGATTCTTGCCCTAGTTGGTTATGTGTTGTAACACATTTAGGCATTAAAAATTTTTAATTTGATTTCTTTCATCATCTCAAGTTTTCATTTTTCTTTTTGTAATTTAATCATTATATCTTCATTTTGAACACTTTCTTTGGTAGTTCCTTTTTTTTTTTTTAAATCTTTTTTTTTTGTTCATTTTTTTTTTTTTTTTTTTTATAGAGGCATGCTTTATTTATTTGTTTGCTGGTCTGTTTGTTTGTTTTGTTTATACATGCACTGGGTACAGTCAGAAGCGCGGGAGGGTGAGAGAATTCACCAGAGCCAGAGCAGGGAGCAGAGCAGGCAGAAGGACTGAAGTACACTGCTGAGGGGAGCAGCGGGCGGCAGGAGAGGTCTGCGCGCCATGTGGGACCCTCCTCCGGTGGCCAGGGAGCAGCCGGGGATCGAACTGGCGCTGCAGAGGCCGCGGGCAGCTTCGCAACCCAGTGCTCAACCGCTGCGCCACCGGGGAGGCCCTCTTTGGTAGTTTCTTATCTATATTTATAACTTTGGGAATTTTATTTAAGATAAACTGTCATAGACTTCATCAGAAGCATTGAAAGTTCTCTTCTGTGTACACACATATATATATCATTTAGCTATGTGGGAATATTTAAGAATTGTTAGTGTTTCTTTTGTTACACTATATGAAGCATTGTAATCAATGAGAAAGAGCCTAGGATTAGAAATTTAGAAGCAAGACTTTAATCCTTTTTGATACCTCGGTTACTTTCTAATATCTTGATTACTCATTTATAGAAAGAATTTGTAGTTCTATCTCTATATTGCTACTTGGTTTAGAACGATATTTTGTAATTTTCTTTGCAACAGAATTTTATGCTAATTATTTACCTTAGGTTAAGTTTCAAGTTAATTTGTATTTCTCTGAGCGTATATCAAATATCAGTAGAGATTACTGGCCTGGAATCTTCCTACTCCTAGTTGTCAAGGAATATCCAGCTTTACATTAAAAAGTAGTTGTGGATAAATATGAGAGGAGCTTACTGATGTGTGTAGCATTTGAAAATTGATTATACTTGCATATACCTACCTTTCAGATATATTCTTAGAAAAAATGTGATAATGTTTATGAAGGACATAAACATTCTGAAAAAGGTTCTTTATAAAATTAAAGTTTGATGCTTCCACTGTAATATATGTATATCATCTACTGATTACTATCATTTTACAGATGCTTTAGGTGCTTTTACATTGCTTTTGTTTTAAAACATTGAAATATAATTTTAAAAACACAACAAAAATATCAGTTAATTCTCTAGATAAATCACCTCTTACATTTCTCTCAGAGACTATTAATCCAGTTTATTGAACAAAATGTATTTTACCTGACTAAGAAAAAAAACAAAACAAGGTAAGGTAATTTGTGAATGAATGAACTTGAATCATTGATTTTTTTGCCAGGTTCAGATGAGTTAGTTATTCTAGATTAACATATTATGAACACATTATTGGATGCACCTAGAAAGCATGGAATTTAATGTAAAGTGTCCAAGTCATAGTGATTATTTAAAAAGTAGTTTGAAATTTTCGATTCTGGATTAAAATCTTGAAAATACAAGTGTTCTATTTTAAAATACAAAGAGACAAAAAAACTTTTCTCTTTTTGACTTACTCATAAAAGACATGTAGTTCAACCTTTTATTAGTCTTTTTAATTTAATGAAAAATCTGTTAACTATTTTCTTGGTTTGTGGTATTTTCTTTTTATCACTTACCTGCTACTTCAACTCATTGACAACTACTGATATGCCTTACACACTATTGCTATTAAGGATGTGTTACAGGAAGCATTAAATTACTATCAGCTCTGATTTTTCCCCAATAGCAGGGCAAATATAATGAATAGGAGGAAAACTTGTATGTATCAAATTTAATTTTAAATTTTGTGTATGAAAAATTTCACTACAGATATATTTTTATAAATGTTTACATAAGAAAAATACAAAATTATGATATGGTTTAGGATTATGAATTAAGTGACAATTGGTGAAGGTAGTGTAGAAAATACACCACGAAGTCAGAGAAAACTAAACTGGGTATTAAAAATTTTCTGTTAATAAAATATATGTCTTATGAGAATTGACTGTAATGAGATTACCTTTGATGAATGACTGATATTTTACAAGGATTATTTAATGTATTTTCTTTGCAACTCCTTAATTGAAAAATTAGGTTTTTCTAGATTTTAAAATGTGACTCAGAAAAACTAAATTGTGTCCCTTTTTTCTTTTTCTTTCTTTCTTTTTTTTTTTTTTTTTAGGGTATGAGTATTATAGAACAATTAGATCCTGTATCTTTTAGCAATTACTTGAAGAAATACCATAATACTATATGTGGAAGACATCCCATTGGGGTGTTATTAAATGTGAGTATCCTTAGGGAAATTTAATTTTTAACATTTGATCCTTTGATGTTTCAAAATATCTTAATTGTCTGTGATACCTTATTATCATTGGTTTTAGGTACTTAGGATGAATTTCCTTTCTACTACCTTTAAGGTAATTTAGGTTTTCATTGTTTTAGTTATTTGAATTAAGTTATTTATCACTGGAATGTAGACAAACACTTATTTTTTAATTTTATTTTTATTTTCAATAATTCTTTTAAATATAGAAAGTTATCCAAAATAGAAACTCATTTTTGTCTCTTTGACACTCAGCCAATTCTATTGTGCGTTTTACAATTATAAACCAGTGTGACTTTTCAAGAGATCTGAACTTACTGATTTTTTGGTTTTATTTACTGTTCTAGAGTCTGTGGAAGTTAATGGAAGGTTTTGTTCTTAAACTTTAGATTTTCATCATTTAACAAAGAAAGATAACATGTTTTTCTGTTTACAATGAAAGCAATTTTCATCTAATGAAGGTTAAGAGGTAGAAGTTTGGGTTAGCTGAATTTTCAAAAGAAAGATAACATTAATTTTTCCCCTAAGAAATATAACAGTATGGATTTCCTGAATGGAAATGTGATATACTCTTTAAGAAAGAAGAAAAGTGTGTTCTTAGAAATAGGAGGATTAATAATGGGCTCATGTTTGGTGAGGCAGAGAAATAATGGGGAAGGTAATGTAGTTGTTAAGTTTAGGTAAGAATTTGAAGTCCAGTGTTAACTTTAATGTAAATTGAAATGTATATTGAAGATTTTTAGGGGGGGTTTTGTCTTCAACAGTATTGAGTGACTGGAAGAAAACCTTATTAATGGCTTAAACTAATTTCTGAAATTTTAACTAGAGTAAGCTATAGTAATTTCCTAAAGCCTGAATTGGATCAAATAAAATTTTAATAAATGAAAAAACAATCTATAATCAAAGTAAAAATCCTATGTCTGCAACTTAATTTAAACATTTCACATTTGGTCAAAGTCAGACAAAGAAAAGAGTCTTAACATTTCAAGACAGAAATGGCCAAGATTTGGACAGAAATGGCAAGATGGCCAAGAGAAAACAGAGAAAGATACTTTAAAAAAAAAAAGTCATCTTAATAAATAGGGAGAGATTGGGTGGACTATGGCTGATATTTATCAAGAAACTAGATTAGCAGAACTTCCTCTTTTTCCTTTTTAACATGAGGCAACAAAGAAATTAAAGAAAATGAACTAGATCTAGGTTTCAGCTGTAAAGTGGATAAAGTTAAGCTACCAACATGTTCACAGAGTGCTCATTTTTAATATGATATGTTCCATAACCAAATTTTTCTTTTTCTAGGCTATCACAGAGCTCCAGAAGAATGGGATGAATATGAGCTTTTCCTTTTTGAATTATGCCCAGTCAAGCCAGTGTAGAAACTGGCAAGACAGTTCAGTGAGTTACGCAGCTGGAGCACTCACAGTCCACTGAAGCTCTGAATCCTCAGGGATGCCACCTGCACATACTCATACTCTGTCCGGGGTCCCAGCCTAGCCCATACCAAGATACTGGTCCTGGTTTGGGGGGATTCTGAAACCTCAAACTAATAGAACTTTCTTCTCTTCTTTTCTAGTAGGTGTAGTCCTTCCTTAATTTCAACTCATTAAAAATGCTTTATAGTTTAGGGCAGTGGAAAGAGGTTGCATAAAAATATTTTGATCAAAAAAGATGACAATGTAAAGGACCAGTTGTGGCAGACAGATATTTGAAAGTAACTTGTAAAGCATTTACCATATCCTAAATCTGCACTCTTTGCAGACTTGTGCACATATATTCCGCTTTCAGAATAGTTTTGCAAATTGTACACAAACAAAAAAAGGGTGGAAGCTTTTTAATAAAGAAATTGCATTTATAAATGATCTGTATTAGAATATAATAAATCTCCAGTTATAGTCAATACTACCCGTGTTGTACAACAGATACCTTCTATTTTAGTTGCTAATAAAGGGCTACACAACTCAAAATAGTCTGATTTAAACTTATTGCTCTGTGGTATATATGAAAATTGTTTTTTAAATAATTCCATCTCAGAATTTTTATGTTGAAAGTGGTCAACTTCAGCTCTTACATAAAAATATGTTAAGATGTATTTTATATTTTGCATATTTGTGATTTTTTATCACAGAAATTAGAAGCATATTTTAAAGTTAATTTTAAAATTACAGTTTGCCTTTTTGTGTGTGACATCACTTTGTGTCATTACTATATTGTAGTAATATATAAATTCAAGATTGATAAAAGAATATAGATGTAGTCCTTTAATTCAAAGATCATATTTGATAGGCAGTAGTCTGCAAATGAAGAAACATTGAAGAGTGTTCTAAGTGTTTTTTAAATTATTGCAGACCATACACTGCTGCTCTGCATTTTCAGTGCTTTATGCAATTTGACTCACTCACTTAAATTTTTAGCAAGAAATCATTAATAACAACTGGATTTCCTTACAGTTCTACAAGTTCTTTTTGTCATGATTTTTGGTGCGGCTCTTCCAACTAAAATAATGGTATGGTGTTGTATTTCTTTCTTTATTATAGACCAGTTCTAGTCACTTGGCAAAAAAATACCATGTAATTCAATTGGTTAATCATTGACCGCCATGCATGTACTGGATGTACCTATTTTAATCTAACACTGGGGATCTACATTACATTGGAGAGTGTTTATATCTTCAATGTTAATGCCAGAACAGCACAATTTTTAGATGCCTTGCACCAATTTTATTTAAAGATTTACATTTCTAATTTATTAAATACCAACTTTCTATAATCAAGAATTGAGATAAAATGTCTTTTGGATTAAAAATTGCCTACCTGTAAATGTGTGGAAATTATAATCTTATGCATTAATGATCTATTTCCCATCATTTAGATTATATTTGAATATTATAAATATTCTTATATAGATTATAAAAATTTCAAAATTGACTACAGAATTTCAAATGTTTTCTGAGTATTAACCTAATAGGTGATTATTATAGAAAATTTAGAAAACATGAAAAATATAAAGAATAGAAAAAAATTGTCTAATTTCACTATCCAGAGAGAACACTGTTAATATTTTTTAATATTTCCTTTCAGTCTTTGTACTCTTTTTATGTATGAGTGTGTCTATGTTTGAGTGTGTGCATAACAAAATTGAGACTATTGACCAGATGGTTGTATAGCCTACTTTTTATGACTTAACATCACATCCTAAGTACTTCTCCATGTCTTTGAAAATGTGATTTTAACAAACAACTGCTTAATATTCAACTGTGTGAATTCACCGTAATTTAACCAGTTCTCTCTGGATATTAGATTGTTTCTGATAATTCACAATTATGTATATAAAATTTGAACTCTATATTAGATTAAGACAGTAAGAACTTTGCAGGCTCTTGACCAAATTACCCTTCAGAAAGATTATACCAAATTAGAAATGTATGAATACCAGTTATCTGCCCCTCTCCATTATTGATTATTATTTTTTCTAATATTTCAGAGTTTGTTAAGCTTTTCATCATTCTAATAAGAGTGATTTTATACTGATTTCCTTCTGTAATTTTATAATTACTTCTAATAAAACATAGAAGAGGGTTGCTTAGGTTGAGTGGACTGTATGTAGCCTTTTGAGTATGTTTACTACACATTTAAAATACTTCAGCATCATCCTTTTTTAGAATCTGAGAGCATATCTTTCCTGCTCAGACATAAAAGAGAGTTCCAAACTAATAATTGAGTGTTGGGTTCTGCTTCTGACTGTGTCACTAATTAGTTTTCTGACTATAAATCATGTTTTAAAACTTTCTCATCTGTAAAATGTGGAGGTGATCTCCTAAGCACTTTCCAGATTCAAAATACTTTGATGTGATTTTAGAGACTCTGATGTCACTTATGTTAAAAAGCTATATGGTCAGATTATATTACAAGTGTTACTTTTTAATTTCAACTTTACATGAAAATGAAAGTTTTTTAAACACAGAAGGGAAATCAATTTGCAATATATAACAGTTACTATTATCTAAATTGTTAAACATTTAAGTGTTGCTACTTTAAGTGCCTTTAAAAGTGTTTTGTATTTGAAACCTAATATGTAAAGGAAATTATTATGTAATTCTGTAGATACTCTATTATACACTTTTAAGTTATTTGCAGCAACTTTTTTAACCTTTGCATAGAGCAGCATAATTATCGATTCTTCACTATTCCACAAGTGAGTCCTTGAAAAATTTGTTAAAGATTAGCTCAGTGAGCAGGTAAGTAAATTCTCTGTAATGGGTAGGAAACAAATCCTGATAGGAAATAGGATGAAAGACTACTAGATTCTTCAGTGTTTATATGTAGCTATTCCAATGTGGATGGTAGCTTTCCTGAGTTAATGGTTATTGTTGCAGATCCCAAATTTTTCTTTGGTAGCAAATAGTTCATTGCTCTAAAGTAGTGGTTGGCAGATAGGTTGTATTAAGGGCCAGATAGTAAATATTTGGGATTTTGCAGACCATATAGGCTTTGTTCCATCTGTTCACTTTTGCCATTGGGGCAGCAAAACATAGACAATGTGTAAATAAGTGAGTGTGGTGGATTTCACTAAAACTTTACACAAAAAGATGATGAGCTGGGTTTGTTCCATGGGTTGAAGTTTGCTGATTTGTCCTAGATGGTATAGTTCACTTGCTTTACAAATTACTGCATAATTGGAACAAATGATTGTAAGTTTCTACCATTCAATTCTTATTTTGATATCATCTAGGTGTTATTTAGGATCATAAAGGTAAGTGTGAAGTGGCTTAGGAAAAGTAGGAACTTCAAGAAGTACTTTAAAGTACTTTGAAGCCCTTCTGTTTGTTGGAGCCTGTTGAGAGGTTTTACTACCATGAATTAATGGCTGATTGTCATTGATCATTGTAATTTACATAAAATTTTATATAGATTATTAAAGTATTTGGCTACCTCAGTGGTAGTAAAGGATGAATCAGATGAACCTTTTTTTTAACCTGAGTATGTTAGGGCACGATGATTAATTTGATAGAGAGTGTGAAATGTGATATTTTAGTTTGTCATCTTAGGAGTTTTGGAAAAATAACTACCATCTCCATCACCATCACTTTATTTTTAAAAATTTACACCCCCTCCCTCCACTAGTTGGGAAGGACATAAACTCACAATAAAAAAGTTATTTAACTTCAACAGCTTTAAGTAGATGGAAAGATTGCTATACTGTTCTTATTTACTCTGACTCACAGAAAACTTCTTGAAAAAGTTATCAGCGTATATAGACTGGCAGTTGGGAAGTGCTGTGATACAATTGCTGAAAGACATAATTTTTGCAAAGTGATTGTTGATTAGGAGATGTAATAAACCACATTCATTCTGAAACTCAAACTGAAACTTTTATTACCATGTTCAGTTTAAGTGCCATATATTTTGAGGGATTTTGTGAACAATAGTGTTCATAAGGAGCCAGCTAGAATGATAAAGGTTTAAATGTTGTGGAGAGTGGGATGCGATAAAAAATTTGGTGATATTTAAGAGGGATTCTCTTTAAATGTTTGAGTGACTGCCATGTATAAGAAGGAGTAAAAAATAGTACTGGTTGCTCTCAATAGAAAAATTAGGAATATGAAATAGAAATTTCTGGTTCCACATTAATGTTGTATGAGAATTTCTAAATGAAAATCAACTCTGTAAAATTATTGAAATTACTCAAGCAAAAGCTAGGTCTGTGTTCTGAGAGTAGAATCCTTATACTGGGGATCACCCTCAGGAGCACCTGGCTAGATTATTAGTGTAGACTAAAATTATGGATCACCAAGGTGGAAAAAAAACTAATGGAACTAGTACAAACAAAATGAAACTTATTTCATATGTATGAAACTGTAAAGGAAAGTAATTTTAAAATAAAAATTGGTTTTGATCATTTAAGATACATAGTTTTATTTACCATTTACTAAAATTTAAGTTGAATAAGTGACAGCTTTTTAAAACAGGTGCTTCTAGAATCTAAAACAGCACAAAAGGGTATTGAGGAAGTTTGCTCTTTTTATACTTATTAATATAAAAATATTAGAGAGGGGAACCAGGAGCAGCTGGCAGATGGGAAGTTTTTCTTGCCCACTTACTCTTCTACCCAGTAAATACAACTGTGACACATAACATGCATTTAGTAAAAGTACTCATAAGTACTGCTGATTCTAAGAACTCTGCCATTTTAAAGTCATTAGAGTGTATGGGTTTAGTCTGCCTGTCGTGAGTTCCCTGATAAAGTCAGCTTTGTTGTGTCAGATTTGTCATATATTCAAGGGTTCTCCCATGATCCCAGAGAAGTTATACCCAGGATGTATCATATTGTGTGTGCGTGTGTGTGTGTGTGTGTGCGTGCACGCGTGTGTGTTTAATTCTAATACAGGCTTTTAGCAATCAACCTATAAAAATAATGGAAAGAAAATTTTGAGAGCCAGTCCTGCTTTTAAAAGCCATAATATAATAAATTGGTTTTACATTATAAATTGTACACTGTGTTCAAATTGAATTTTCATTTTGTAAGGTGAGGTTTGTAATTTTACTGGATGTAGTTATGTTTTCTCCTGTCATCCTAGTAATGAAACCAAAGAGAATATAGCATCATTATTAAGAAACTACTGAAGATCAAGTGTATTCAGCTCTGGGCAGGACTTTAGTTCTGCTCTTTAAATCTGCCAATGTAAACTTCTGGAAAATATTTTAATTTTTTTGACCATGATATTCTTTGAATTACTCACTGGATATGTTTTATATACACTTTAAATAAGAACTATTAAAATGAGATAAAGACAAATTAGAATGACATGAATGACCTCATGAAGTAGTTTTCTAAATATTAATGTTGAACTAGATTTAATAAAAGTATTTTAACTTAAACATTTTATAAATGGAAATTTTTTCTAAGAAGCTTTTTTTCTTTTTAAAATTTATCTTATTTGAATCTAATAGACATTTAGTTGGTTTAT